TCGTTGGCATGCAAAAATGTATTATACATGATTTATATATATTATATTAATAAATACATAGGTATCATTTATATTCTACTCTTTTAAACTTTATTATAGGACAACTGTATGCAGCGTTTTCCCGAGTGAGGGACTCTCAATCCATAAAATCCATTAGAGTTGCTATGTACAGTGATGGCCGTGGTAGATTCGTCACTAAGAACATTGTGTACAGAGAAATTCTACAAGCGATATAACTGTACAATGAAGTCTACAAGAACTTAATGAACATCGAATCCGATCTGTGTGACACATGGTTTATAAACAGTCGTAAGTACGACTCGCGGAGAGAAAGTTCGACGACTTCCACGTGGTTCTCTCTGGATGCGGATTTTGTAATGAATACGTAACTGATGTCGAACATGCATTTAACCTGGCTGCCACTCGCACACTAGATGGTAAATTATTTAGAATTATTTATGTACTCTAAAAATATATCAGCAGATATTTGTATGCATTTGTATTATTTCAGAAACATTATACTAAAAATGACTATCAATGCAGATGTAACAGAAACAGAATCATTGTTGTACTGCTACTAAGACATAGGGGACATTCGACAACCTCTACGTGCTACTCTCTTGATGCGGATTTTGTAATGTATTTGTATCAAATGTCAAACATGCATTTAGACTGACTGCGACTCGCACACTAGGTGGTAAATTATTTAGAATTATTTATGTACTCTAAAAATATATCAGCAGATATTTGTATGCATTTGTATTATTTCAGAAACATTATACTAGAAATGACTTCATCAATGCATATGTAACAGAAACACAACAAAAAGATTCATCATTGTATCAATACTGATTACTAATTTGTAACTAAACCATACTCTGTTAATCATAAGAGTTACTACAGCTAACACTTAATTATTATTCATTGTTAATTTGTAACTGATGTAGCACATGCATATATATATATGTATATATACATTTAAATTATATTATACAATAATATTACCTGTATAGAAAATGCTTAAGTGTTAATATTGTAAGTTTTGCTCAAATATAGAATGAGACAATTAGTTCGATTATATAAACAAGACAAAAGTTTATTATTCATAAAATTTATTTATTTATGAATGTTACAAAAAATCAGTTAGAAAAAAAAAATATATATATTGTAACGTGGTCGGGGATGGCCCGTTAAATATAAGATATTCAGGGAAGAAATTAATTCTTTTGAATATATTTTTACCGTAGCTCGGGAGCACGAATGGTATTAGGATCTTAATATTACAAATAAATAACGATTGATCTAAATTATTATTAATATAAACAAATTATTTATTATAACTTACAATTTACGAACAAAGTTACCAAAAATGTAGGATTGTATGGAGTTCAGGTGCACGTGATGGACTCGCGGAGAACTGGTATTCTCTTACATAGGGATATTGGCCGGAGCCTTACAATCATAAAATATATATGTGTCACCTAAACCGGAGGGGCTTAATATATTATTATAGTCAGCGCATAATATGCCTAATGTGCATATTATGATGCTTATAAAATAAACGTAATGATGTAACATACGTTACAATATTATTCATAAAATGTATTTATTTATGAATGTTACAAAAAATCAGTTAGAAAAAATATATAATAATAACAAATATAATAACAAAAACGAGAAAGAACTACAGTGGAAACACTGTTTATAATTATGATATTAGTACTTCTAAGCCTAAATTTGAAATATATGATAGAGTTAGATTATCTTCAATAAATGATGTGTATCGAAATAAATTAAAAACAAATTGGTCTAAAGAAATATTTATAATTGAAAACATTTTAAAACCGAACGTGAATTATTATAACCACGTCATTGTTATCAACAGGAACAAGTTTGGTTATCACTCTGATATATTTTTTTTTTTTTGTAAATTTTATATATTTTTATATTTTTTTGTGTAAATTTTTTTTAATTTACCAATTTAATTTTACTCAATCAATTATTTCACTTATAAATGAACAAACTATATTGCTTTAAGTGTAAGCAAAAAACAGATAATGTTAATCCACTTATAATAAAAACTAGTCACAATAGGAAAAGATTGTCTGCAAAATGTAAGCTATGTAAGAAATTAAAGTCAGGATTTATTAAGTGAGTAAATTTAGTAATTAAATATTTCATAATATTGTTGAATCAGATAATGTAAGTTAAAATATTCTTTTTTTTATTTTTAATCTATTTAATAGTAAGTCTTTACCGAATCTACGGCTTCAATTTTGAATTTTGTAATAATAATATTTACTATATCTTGAAGTTTAATTAATTTGCTTTCTTCTCCCCAGATATATATCGCATATTGCAATTGAGATTGAATTAAAGCTGAGTGTACTGATTTCTTAAAACTTTCTTCTTTTAAAATAAAGAATATTGATAATTTTCTTTTGTTATTTATTTTATTAACTATTTCATTAAATTGGGTGTCAAATGTTAATTTTTGATCAACTATGCATCCTAAATATTTATATTCGTACACCTTTTCTAATTTAGGACAACAACATTTATTAAAATTTGTACACAAAAAGTCATGTATAGTTATAATCATATGTATATGAATTCGCTTCAGAAAAATCAATGTATTGTGTTTTAGAAATATTTAAAGACAGTTTATTTTCAACAAGCCAATTTCTGATCTTAATTAAATCTTCATTAGCTTTTTGATATAATTCAGCATGGTTATCAGCTTCAACAACCAATGCTGTATCATCTGCAAATAATACTAATTCACCATTGACTTTAATTTCAGCTAAACTATTAATATAAATGTTAAACAACAAAGGACCTAGGGAGGTCCCTTGGGGTACTCCACAATTAATAGTTTTTGTTTTAGATAATTTTGATTTGATTTTTGTATTACATGTTCTATTATTTAGATATGATTTTAATAGTTCTAGGGTGTTTCCTCTTGCACCCATACTATCCAATTTTCTTATTAATATATTATGGTCTACTGTATCAAATGCTTTTTTTTAAATCAAAGAAAATTACCATTTTATATTTTTTTTCTGTTCTAATTAATGACATTAATTTTGAGATTGCTTTTTCTGTATTTTTACCTTCTCTGAAACCAAATTGTGATTTATAAAGCATCTTATTTTTTTCTAAAAAGTTAACTATCCTTGAAATTTGAAATTAAAGAAATTTGTCGATAATTATTGACATCGTCTTTTGATAATCCATTTTCTTTATATAGGTATGGGAGCAGGCGCGGACTGGCTGGGATGCTGGGATGCTACAGCATCCCTTGCCCTAAAATATATTTGCCCCTATCGGTATAAATGTGCCCACCTAAAATTAATCTGAATTTTGAAGGAGAAGGTTAAAATTCTCTGATAAAATCGTAGGTAGATGTAGATCTATTATTTATGTAATAAGTAATAATTATAATAATCATAAAGAAAAAAGAATACATTTAAAGTAGGTAGCCAATAGGCAATAAGAAAATAGGTAAATTAGTTTGAGCAGCTTATTATATACATTAAATATACTTTCTTAATTTATTATTAACACAATCTTTATAAGAGGAACTTAGCTCTAATTGTTATGGGCGGGGGGTTGGGGAGGGGCAAAAATTAATCACAATTTACTGACCCTTAAGTTTGCCCTCTCGATTTCTGGCCCCTCGTGACCCTCCGTCCTTCCACACCAAATGCTGCGGCCTATGACAATGTTTATGCTCTTATTAATTTTGAGACCTACACATTTAGTTATAGTTTTATTAACTGCTACTGGTTATTGCTTTTTAAAGTACCAAAATAAGAACGTGACCAAAATCATTTATCTGTCATTATCTCTGTAATTGCAGAATTATATAACCCACAATTCACAAACTATTATATAAAAAAAATATATAGAATTGATTTGATCTCATCAAAATATTGCTACAATCGAAAAAGTGCTTCGACCGATGCAAAGTAAACGTGCATACCAATTCAAACATCTTTACATATTTTAAATCGAACTAGAAGTACTTTAATTTTTGTCAGGCGTTAAGGTCGTTATTTCTATGTTCCGCGTGTGTTAGACAAAGACAGACAATCGCGGCATGCAACGCCCTTAAATATATTATATTTAATAATTAATGTAGAAATAATTTTTAAATATTTTTAATACCATTTGAGTTTGGGGTAATTTGTTCTATTTTTGTTCATGTCGCGTCGTCGCCGACGACGATTAGCGATTATTATATTTTTAGTCTGCATTTCATTAGCCCGCTGCCCGCAGTCCGCAGAATGAACATTGCTTTATATACGATAAAGTCATTATAGTCATTATGTGCAATAATATTATATCCGTCGACCACCACATCGTCGCAGTCGTCGAACATCGTCGTTTGCGGCGTTCCTAAGATGTTAACTTATATAACTTATTTAACTTATTATATTGCAATAAAATCATAGATAAGAATAACCCGAGTCCCGACGACGACCGACGGGTGACTATATAGGTATATCGTATAATATGGTCTATTAGAAATTAGTTTATCCAAATCCAACTATGATGTAGACGCAGACACGCCACTCGCAGTATAGCTGACGTAAGGCGTATTGTACTTTTGACTTTACTGAAAAGATTTCTTAAACAAAACGCGCAGAATATACATGAATGCACGATCGGCGGTTGCACCATTAAGGCATTAACTCACAGGTATCTATACATTTTTTTTAGTTTTTTAGTTTTTATATCATTTTTCTGAAAAAAATACATAATTGATCAATTTATTGAGTGTAAATGTGTAATAATTCAATAAACAATACCTATTATATTTAATGTTAAAACAAAATTTAATTGATTCTTTGGGTTTTGACATACAATATTGAACACACTGCACACTAGCACACTACTGCAGTTTTCTACATGTGTGTGTCCATGTAAATTGGGTACTTTGTTTTCAATGCATTATTTTTAAAATCAGATTATTTTACAGAATTTATTGCTAAAATATGGGGAAGACAAAAAATAAATTGAATAGTGGTAGCCAAAATAGAAAAATTAAAGAACAAAAGTTATTAAAATTAGTTGCTAATGACAAGAATCAAAAGAAATTGTGTTTTGATTCACCTGTACCATCAGTTAGTATTGCATTTTGTAATACAGATCAGTGCTCACCTAATTATAAAAATATTGATCACCAAGAGTTCTTAAATTATGAAAATAAAAGGGAAGAAAAAGAAATAATTTATGAGACATCTGTATCAAATGTAGAACCTATTGCATTATTTAATTCAATACCGACAATACCGTGTACATCTGATGCAATGAATGAAGACAATGAACGAGTCATTGAAGTTGGAAAAGAAAGAGTTGATGAGGAATTAAAAAATTGTTTAGAATCTTTACAACCTGTTTCACTCTTCCCCTCAATGCCAAACACATTGAATAGTACAAATAAAATTGGTGAATCTGATTCTGAATCAATATATGTAGAAATTGGAATGGAACATGAAAATATTAAAGATGATTTTGAAACACATTTTGATGCTTTTGTATTTGTACCTCCAAATAAAAATGACAGCATAGTAGCTAAATTAAAATTTTTAGAGCACCATCCTATTCAACCAATTGTTATAAATAATTCCAAAGTTATGTTTGATCCCAGAAACATTTATTTTCGAAAAATGACAAATGATGATATTGTCGAAAGAAGATGGATTTCATATTGTTCTTTTACTAACAAAATATATTGTAGTACTTGCATGGCATTTTCAGTAGATTTATCCAATGCATTTGTTAATGGTGTAGTAGTTAATATTAAAAGCATTTATATAAAAGTTCAGAAACATGAAAACAGTGCAATACATAAAAGTGCATGTGAAAGTTATTTAAGAGCTTGTACTAACAAAAATATAGACGTCATACTTGAAAATTTTCATAATAAAGAAGTTGAAAAAAATCACATGGTCCTTGATAGAATAATAAGCATAGTAATTGTTCTTGCTAAACAAAACTTGGCTTTTCGTGGCCATAGGCATGAGTCTATTAGTGATCTTAATGATAAAACAAAATTTAATCACGGTAACTTTTTAGCAATAGCCCAACTTGTGGCAAAGTATGATCCAATTTTAAAATACCACATTGAAAATATGATTAAAAAAAGACAAAAAAAATCTAAAAGTCGTGGACGAGGTAGTTTGGTTAGTTTTATGTCAAAGTCAACTGTTAATAAAATTATTCAAATAATCGGTCAAGAGATTCAACACTCTATTTCTAAAGAAATAAAATCCACTGGTCAATTTTCTCTAGAAGTGGATTCCACTCAAGATATTTCAGTAACTGATCAATTGAGTATTTGTGTTCGTTATGTATACCAAGGATATGTTAAAGAAAGATTATTAGCCATGATTCCAATTAAATCATCTACTGGGAAAGATCAATATGAAGTAGTGAAAAATGTATTAAAAACATGGAACATTGATGTAAAAAATCTGATTAGCCAGTCTTATGATGGGGCAGCGAACATGAGCGGAGAGTATAGTGGGTTGCAAAAATATTTTAAGAATGATGCACCTGATTCAATATTCACACACTGTCATGCACACGTATTAAACTTAGTTATAGGTGATGTCACCAAGTGTAATATAGCTTCTCAAAACTTATTTGGCCTTCTACAAAAAACAGCGGTATTTTTTTCTGAGTCTCATAAAAGAGCTAATATATGGAAGGACATTTTATTTGAAAACCAGATTGGCCATGACAAAATGAGAAAACTGCAAAAACTCAGCAATACACGTTGGAATAGCAAAGACAAAGCTTTAAAGACAATTTTTCATTCGTGGTCAGAAGACGGCTCTAAGTGTGATCGTTATATTTGTCTACTTAATTCATTACACATTTTAGGTTATGATGAAAAGTTTATTAAAGATTCAAAAATGGCATCAGAGGCAAGAGCACTATTAGAAAAATGGACTTCATTTGAAATTATAATGATTGCTTTTATATATCAACAAATATTTTTTTTCACAACACCTGTTTCTAAGTATTTACAGACAGAAGGCATTGACTATGTAATAGCTTGGAATAAAATTGTAACTTTAACAACTAACATAGAGAAAATAACCGAAACATATGAACAAATTAAAAGTAGAGCTGTAACTTTCATGGACACGGTGGAAACTAAACTAGACCACTTAGAAAATATTTATATTCAAAATACATTTCCCACAAGAAGAAATAAAAAAACTAAAATACAATCTGGAGAATTGGGAAATGACTCAGCTACTAATTTCAGTCCATAAAAGAAATTTAAAGTTGATGTTTTTCAAAGAATTAGTGATGTTGTATCAATGTCCATGAGGGAGAGATTTATGAAAAATAAAAAACTTTTTAATGCTATGGCTTATTTAGATCCAAAAAGATTCAATGATATCAATAATAAAATATTAGATTTTTCAGGTAAATATACATGAAAATATTATTCTAATTTAATCTTAATATAAATGCATGTACCCTATAAAATCTCATATCTTGAATGTATGTGAGAGCATGTTTATTTTTAGCATAATTATTATAATTTATAGATTTTATTTATTTTTACTGATATTAAATAACTAATATAAAAATAAAATCGAGATTAATTCATTACAATTTTGAGAGAACATTTTTTAAACCAAAAGTATATAGATTATAGATATTTTTTTCCATATTAAAACCTAAAAACCGCTAAAAACCAATTATTTGCTTCATAAAGTATATATTAATATATTATCTGAAATATTATGTTATAATGTTGTAATAAATTTAAAATGTTTGTAATTCAGTATAAATACTATTTAAAATGTTATACTAATTTAGTATTATTTGATAAAATAATATCATTAATAATATTGAGTCATATTAACAGACTTAATTTCTTAGTTTCTTCAAAAGTTAGATAAAATCAAGGCTGGGCATTAACAAGTTAATAAGTTAGAAATTATGTTAATTTTTAGATATTAACTTAACTTACTAGTTTATTGTTTGAATTAACTTAATTGAGTTTAAAAGTTTTTTAAACTTGCCCAGCCTTGGATAAAATTAATTAAGTAATGAATTGAATACCTACCTACCTACCTACCTACAACCTATCTATAAAATAGTTCTAAATACTATTATATAATAATTATTAATTAAACATATAATTTTAGAATTATATTTTATAACTATGTAGGTAGGTAGGTACTTACCATTTTTTTGTCTTACACAAGTATTATATTATTAAGATTAACTATATTATTATTATCATAGATGGTGCACTTGAATTCCTTTGTGTAAAAGTTAAATTACAATTTGAAGAAGTAAAAAGTGAATTGTGCAATTTTTCAATATCTTTTAAAACGATGGTCAGTGCTAGTATTGGAAATGCAATTATGCCAGCAAAACACAATGATGATTCTGAAACTGATTTGAATGAAGATAATGGTAGTATACACAAAAATATTATTTACTTGGCTACTTGAGAACATAGAAATATTTTTTTTTTAGACCAACAAGATACTGATGAGAATGAATCTATACATAATAATGAACTCGATAGCTGTCAATTTTGTTTACCATGCGTGTTTCAAATATTGTGGAAATTCAATTTACATTCTTCAGCTTATTCCAATGTGCAAAGGTGGGCATTAACTAGTTAAAAAGTTAAAGTTAAGTTAAAAAGTTAATTATTTTTGTTTTTAACTTATTAACTTATTCAGTTAAAATGTTTATTGTTGTAACTTAACTTTTTATAGTTAATTATCATTGTCGAGCAGTTAAGTTAATTTACTTTTGAGTCATGCGTAATCAACTAGGAAATACTGATTCTTCGACTTTTTTACAATTTTGGTAATTCATTTTCGAATTATATATTATAAATTATAATAATTAAATTGTTTACACAGTGTTAAATGTCTTGGTAAATGTTTGTGTATATAAAATACTATGGTAGTTTATGACTTAAAAATATTGTACCTTCAAAAAAATTAACTTTTTTTTAACTGAGATAAGTTAATTTTATTTTCCATCATAACTTTAAACTTATCGAGTTAAATTTTTTTCTTTGTTAACTTTTAACTTAACTGAAGGCAATTTAATTGAATTAACTTAACTTGCCACAGTTAATTATTTTCATTAACTTGCCCACCATTGCCAATGTGTACTTATTATATAAATTTGTACTAACATTAGCATGCACTCAAGTTTATTGTGAACGGTCTTTCTCAAAATTAAAAATTATCAAAAATAGACTAAGAAGTACCCTTTCTGAAGAATTGTTGAATGCATTAATGTTAATAAGTACTGAACATGATCTTATTCCTGATACTAATTATATCATAAAAAAAATATCTGAAAGTTCAGACTTGCTTGGTAAAATATTATAAATTTGGCAGGTAGGTCGTAGGTACCTCATACCTATGCAACAAGTCAATGATAACAATATTACACATAACTTGTTTCATATTATATGTAGGTACTAGGTAATATAAAAATATTTAAAATGTAGAAGTTCATTATTAAATATTAATTTATACATTCAGTAATATTGTAATACAAAGAATATCATGTACTTACCTATGTATAATGTACATTATAAGTTTACTTTTATTTTGTATCAATAATGAATAATAATAGTATGTATCATAATATAAATATATTATATCTATAATAATACATGGCGCAATATATAATATTTTTTTGTAAGTTATTTTTTTTTTTTGCTTGGATTCAACAGTTTTCAAGGTTCAATTTTTAAAGATTTTAATTTGTCGTGGTTAATTTATTATTTTTATTAATATTATAATTATTGTACTGCAGGTGAACATAAAAATGTATATCAGTATAACTGAGATTTATGAGTATTGCACTTAAGTAGAAAGTATATCCTTGTTTAATCATTTATCTACTACCTACCTATGTCGCAATCCCTAAAATCGGATTTATGATATTTTAAAAGTAATTAAGTATAATATTTGAATGTGTTATGTGTAATTACGGACCATTAATTCATTTTTATTTTTTTACCATACAACTGTAGAACTTTGTAAATTTGTAATTTTTTGAATGGCTGTTGTAATTTGGCACCTATTTACATTTTTAACGTATTTACAATATTTTATTAAAAAAATATTTTATTAAGAAAATGTTTAAATATTTTATAAATAACCTACATATTTAAAATTTGCCCCCAAAATTTGTTTTATTTGCCCTTTAAATTATTTAGCATCCCGCGCCCTTTTTTACCAGTCCGCGCCTGTATGGGAGTTATTATTGCATGATTTAATTGTTGAGGAAAATAATTTGTATTAATAAATAGATTAAATAATTCTGCCATTGAAGTGGCTATTGACTCTTTATCAGCTTTTAAATTTTTTACATCAACATTATCTGAGCCTGGCGATGTCCTATTTTTTAATGAACTAATTTTTAAATTTATTTCTTCATCACAAATTGGTTCAAAGAAGATAGAATTTGGATTAATATTAGTTTTTGATTTGTTTTTTGAAAAAGGAATTTTTGAAGCTAGATCGCTACCAATATTAACGAAATGGTCATTTAATTCATTACACTCAATTTATATATCATTTTTATATTTATTAATTTTTAAGAAATAATATAACAACTCCCATTGTTTTATTAGATTATTTTTATTAACTCCATTGATTTGATCTTTAAAGTAATTTTCTCTTGCAATTTTAATTAAATGTACTATTTTTGATTTATATGCTTTAGCTAATTCTTTATTGTGCTTTAATTCGTATTTTAATAGATTATTTCTAACTTTAATTGACTCAATAATACCTAGAGTAATCCACGGATTTCTACTTCTAGCCGGAATAAAATAATCAGATTTTTTTAATACATTACTTATATATTTACCGCATTCTTCATCCACGTATTCATGTGTTGAAGTCGCCATAGTTGTTGTTTCTTGTTGGTGATTCATTGGCTGTAGTCGAAATGTCGTCCAAAATTATAAGCTTTCAGCATCAATTCACTGTCATCGCAATTTAGACGAGACTAAAAACGGCTACAGTATGCCCACGAATGACTCAAAACTCAATAGTGGCTTGTATTTATAGCTCCGAAAAACATGATGCAATATTACATAATAATGACGTAATCTAGAAAAAAAGTACCCTCTAGAATGTTTTATTTGACGTCACAAACTTGATATTACGAAATAATACCACTATCCTATAAACGGAATAGCTAATGGGGTGCTGTAATATACTTTTTCATAAAATATATAAAAAAAAAAAAACCAAAATACTTTGGTTGTTATTTGTTTACAATTTATTTATGATTGGCGGAAAATGTATATGTATTGAGAAATGTATGTAATGTGTCTAAATTTTTAATTTTTGTAATATTTAACAGAATTTAAAGTATTTTTTGTAATATCTGTAATGTTTAAAATATTTATTGTAACATGTCTAAATAGCTCTAAATATCTGTTATAATATATCTAAATTATTGTAATATCTCTAAATAACTCTAAATATCTGTAATGCTTAAAATATTTATTGTAATATGTCTAAATTTTTGTAAGTTTTCATTTCTGTAATATTTAACAGATTTTATGTTGAAAAAAAATTTTGTTAAGTGTGGTGAACGTACCTTGCTTACTACTTATTTAGATAAATTACAATTTAGACAAAAGAGACCATTTTTTGTTGTTAACATGATTAGACACCTCAATCAAATTGCAATCTCCAACTGTACAGTAATTTTAAACGTAGATTTCAGTCAAAATTTACCTGATAAAACAATTTGTTATATTTGTTTAATTTCTAGTTCAGTGTATACGATTGATATTTAAAGAGGAATAGTTGATGAAAGTTTTTAAATATATTAAAATTAAGTAAAAGATCGTTCCCTACTTTAACAAAAATTAACAAAAAATCAAAAGCTTTTCATATTTATTTCTTTATTAGATAAAGAACACCAATAAATTCTTCATCAAAATTAACAATATTACCTTTCAAATCTAAAATATTAATTTTTATTTTTTGAAACCGATTTTTACTAACTTGTCGATATATATATATTTTAAAAGGTTTATTCTAAACATTATTAGAATTATATTGAAATAAAAATAAAACTTCATCATAATGAGATAGCTCATCAATATCATGTACTCATTAGATATTGTTGAATGGTCAAAATGGAGATCCTTATATCCGAGATACAAAAAAGAAATGTTCTCTGGAACAAATTTAATAAAAAGTATAGGGATAGATTGGTGTCTGAGAAAGAATGGGAAGCTGTTGCCAGAATAGTACACATGAATAGTAAGTGTAAAATTATTAATAGTTCAAATTAGTTTGAATAGTATTTTAAAACATTTAAACCTACAGATGTTATAATTATTTTCATAGTATAATAATAACTAATTAGTTTGGAAAATTATTTTAGACATTTTTGTATATAAAAAATTATTTTTTTAAATTTTATTATCAATAAAATACTTCACAAATCTATTTCTTACATTAATTAGATATTAACTTGACGCTCGATTGTTAGCTCTGCCTTTGTAATTCAGCGATATCATTTGATTATGGCTCTTGGATGTGTCCGTTTCGTAATCGTCTAGGACGTAATGTTGTGTAGAAGATTTTTTTTTTTTAAATCTTTTATTGTATTGTGTAAAATACAAATAGCCTTTACAATATAATCAGTGTTTTCTACTTTTGTTTCTATTGGTTTTAATAGATTTCTAAATTTTGATGAAGCTATGCCAAATGCACACTCGATTGCCCTTCGTGCTCACGCATGTCTATAGTTGTAATACTGTTTTTCGTTTTCTTGACATTGCTTTCTCGGAAAAGGCTTCATTAAGTAATTTCTCAACGGAAAAGCTTCATCTCCTATAAATACAAAAGAAGCCAAGAAGTTCGAATTTGGTAATTTTATTTCATTTGGTAGTTTAAGAGAACCGTTCTCGATACGTTGGTAAATTTTAAGATTTACTATAACACCACCTACGCTATCTTTCCCGTATCCACCCACGTCTATCATCAAAAATCTATCAATCCCGTAATTAGTTATATGAATTAGGTTTATATATAAATAAGATTGTTTAGTAATGATGAATCAAAATTAACTAACCTGGGGTCAAGAAGTGTAGCCAGTGGGAAATCATTGAATTTTTCAATATCTTTGAACCGTCTATGTATTTCACTTAAAATATTTTTTTGTAAACCAATGCAAGTATTTGATTCAACAATAATACTTTCTTACACAATTTAAAAAAGGTATGACTGTGCTAATTACTGCATATTTTTCACCCGACATTTTAGTTGTTAAATTTTCTAAAGGATGTAAAAGTGCACAAATTCCTTTTAGATCATTTAATTCACGACTGGTTAACATGTCTGGTGCATTTGGTTATGTTAATAAAATTAAAGAAATAATGGATGAAAGTTTCAAAAAGCATGTGCATATCCTGGAATCGGATTTAATCCTATGACCACGGATATTGAAAATTGCCAATGAGTGCTGAAATGCAGAGTAGGTACTTAAAGTACTATAACACTAGTTAAAAAAATAATTAAATCTTTTATTTTATACATAATACGTAACATTAAAAAAAAACAACTTGTGTTGTGTTTTATTTCCAGAAATCTTATACGTCGGCACAAGATATAAACGGTTCTTTTAAGAACCAACCATTTAAAACGGCCCTTTTCAGGGCCACCACATTTTTAAGTTCATAAATATTTTATAAAATACCTAAATATATTATTATATATTTAAAATATATAATATTAGATATAAATAATAAGTATATATTTTTATTTATTGAAAGTAACAATATTTTGTTGTACCTATTTAATAAAATATAATTTTAGATTGTCCCTAGATAGCTGCGATGACAAGATAATTCCAAATAATGACGGAGTACTCACAAACAAATCGGCCAAACTGAAATCGGACCGCTGATTATTTTTCTACTACGGTGTACGAATCGAAAACCTCTTTTACGTTTTCAATATTTTGAAATTTTTTCCTGGACCCAAAAGCCATACTCTATGGGGAAAATCGATCGGAAAATCGAAAACAATGAAATCCGACCGCTGATTATTTTTCTACTACGGTGTACGAATCGAAAAACTCTTGGACATTTTACGATATTTTGAAATATTTTCTGGTCGGAAAAATGAAATTTTATAATTATAAAAGTATGTTTCCGATAGGTTTTGAAAAAACCAAGGGCTTTCACGTCAGTCACATTTTTAAAATTTTATTTTGTACTTAGAATAATTTGATCAGGGATATTATTTTATTTTGCACTTAAAAAATGAACGGGTGAAAAAAAATAGTCTAAAATTATTATTGTTGTGGTAACACTGCGGAGTATTGATGTAGTGATAGTACTATGGTAGTGATATGGACTTTGTTATTTTTTCCGGATTTGTTCTCCAGACCCAAAAGCCATACTTCAACCAATTTTCACTCAGGGGCGGTTCCAGTGGCATGGTTGGGAGGGGGACTGTCAATTTTCAGAAAAATGTTGATATTATAATATGTTTTTTTTAATGTTATTTTGTTGTTAACATTATTCAATTTTTCAGTAATACAAACTTGGGGGGGGGGGGGCAGTCCCTGGAGCTACCTCTTTTTTCACTGACTGTTGAAACATTAGTCAATATTAATAAACCTTGTATTAGGAAAAGAGTGGAAAAATAACAATTTCATTATTAAATAATTTGCACATGTGCTATTTTATATTTAAATGATATTATAATATTATAATTAATATATATACAATATAATATAATAATATTTACACTAAATTGATACATTATACAACAAACTTAAAACAAATTATAAACTTAATATTATATATGTAATAATAATAATAATAATAATAATAATCCCATTTATAATCTTATAAATGGGATAATTTATTAATTATGTTTATTATTAAAAGTGTTCTTTAGACTTGTATACTGAACATTATCAATGTTATAATTTTTTACAAATTTGTTAACAATACATTACAGAGAACTCCTCAAAGTTATATACTTAGTTCCATCTGCAGTAATATTTATATGATTTGGTATAGGAGAAATTATAGAATTTTGGAAAATAAAATTATTACCATCTACAAATTCATCGAATTTCACTTCGAAGGCACAGACATGTTTATTAAAGCATAAAGTAATAAATGGAATAAATTCAAAAATGATTTTATCAGAACTGTAAATATATATATATATTTTTTTGACAGAAATAAATTTGAAATTGTTATTATCTTCAATAATATCTTGAGTTAGTATGCTATTGATTTTGTAGCATGTACCTTTAACAGTAGCCCAGGTAACAGGAAATAATGTTTCTTTTAAATCAAGATTGAGTTCATTAATAATTTGTTCACATTTAATTGAATTAATCATCTTACAAGGACCTACATCAATAGTATTACATAATCGACCCTTATAAAAAGTTTCGTTAAGTAGTAATAGGTGTTTAATTGCCAAACTTAAACAAAGATTTCGTCTGTTGAAAGACGATCTAGCACAAATTTTTAAAATTCTATGTTTTGCCTCATATCTCATTGCCCAAATATGACTAACCGGACCAAACTTTTGAATCATAGATGGGTAATGTACCAAGAAATGGAATTTAGATTTAAGACAATTTTTGCTGCATTTTAAATAAAGTTCATTGAGTTCAGCTACTAACGTTTTTAGTAAATAAATACTTTCTTCTTCAAACGCAGGTGATAGCATGATATCTAAAACTTCACGTAAAGACTGATTCTTTAACTGGTTCTTCAATAGAAATAAGATCACCAATAATTAATCCAAAATATCTAACTAGAATTAACATTTCAGATGCCAACTGTTTTGTCTACTTTTGTTTCTATTGGTTTTAATAGATTTCTAAATTTTGATGAAGCTATGCCAAATGCACACTCGATTGCCCTTCGTGCTCACGCATGTCTATAGTTGTAATACTGTTTTTCGTTTTCTTGACATTGCTTTCTCGGAAAAGGCTTCATTAAGTAATTTCTCAACGGAAAAGCTTCATCTCCTATAAATACAAAAGAAGCCAAGAAGTTCGAATTTGGTAATTTTATTTCATTTGGTAGTTTAAGAGAACCGTTCTCGATACGTTGGTAAATTTTAAGATTTACTATAACACCACCTACGCTATCTTTCCCGTATCCACCCACGTCTATCATCAAAAATCTATCAATCCCGTAATTAGTTATATGAATTAGGTTTATATATAAATAAGATTGTTTAGTAATGATGAATCAAAATTAACTAACCTGGGGTCAAGAAGTGTAGCCAGTGGGAAATCATTGAATTTTTCAATATCTTTGAACCGTCTATGTATTTCACTTAAAATATTTTTTTGTAAACCAATGCAAGTATTTGATTCAACAATAATACTTTCTTACACAATTTAAAAAAGGTATGACTGTGCTAATTACTGCATATTTTTCACCCGACATTTTAGTTGTTAAATTTTCTAAAGGATGTAAAAGTGCACAAATTCCTTTTAGATCATTTAATTCACGACTGGTTAACATGTCTGGTGCATTTGGTTATGTTAATAAAATTAAAGAAATAATGGATGAAAGTTTCAAAAATCTTTTAATCATATAATAAACACTATTCCAGCGAGTTTTTACATCCAAAATAGGTTTTAGTAATTGTCCTTCAGATTTTCCTATAAAAAAAAAAAAAAGAAAGAATAATTAATCAGATAATTGTAGAAAATATGGTAATCTATTTACCTTCATTAGTTTGACATTTCCTTAACTCATTACTAATAGCAGTGTTGTTTTTTATACATTTGACGATACCCCGTACTTTGTAAAGTAAAGAAGTCAAATTATTTGTATCTGATATTGATTTTTCTGCAATTAAATTGATAGTGTGTGCAATACATGGTATTAACTTGTCAACGGTAAATGTAGTTTGTGCAGCCTTTTTTATGTTTGCACCTTAAAAAATAGTTACTTTTATAGGTACTTCTAATATTAATGTATTATTTCATTATAAAAAATTATTTATTGCTAACTAAACAAAACAAATTCATTCAAAAACATTAATTAACTTGTAGTACCTATGGTTGTTTACCTATTGATATTAAATATATTATCTAAGATTTTATAATTTATTTTTAACACCATAAACATCAATGTTATGAGATAAACATAATAATAAAATGTATATAGACATAATAAAAAAAACCACAAAATAAATAATAATTTATAAGCATGGTTTACTATAATTACTTACCGTTATCTGTAACAACAGCAATAATTTGACTATGAGAAATATTCCATTCCGACAAACAATTTGCAAACATACAACTTATATACTCTAATGTATGCGATTCATTTAGTTCATATACTCATAGGCGTGCGCACAGGGCGTGCCGGGCGTGCCTGGGCACGCCCTGTGATTTTTCATGGGCCGAAGGGCCCTATGACTAGAGTTACCATAATGTGTTTTTAGACCAAATCCGGACATCAGTAAAAAAAAAAAAAAAAACGGAACTTCAGTTACTATCCACGAGTCGTTTTATATAATAATTAATAACTCATTGATAGAGCGCGCCAGGATTCATTTCAAAATATCACTAAATGCAGAGAATTGTGTGGATACCTAATGATTGTATATTATTCTAGTATAGAAAAATATAGAAGCGAAACTCGATCAGCTGATGGGTGAAGTGTTTACCTATGATCTGAAGTTCGAACAATGAAACTGTTTCCGTACACCGATATGATGTTATACCCGTATTGAAAAACCGTTTCCCGGATGATAGGCGGGATACGCTACGCGGGGTCGGCTTGTTTACCATTCCCTATTTCATGATATTATGTTATTTTTAGCTGTAATAAATAATTGTTATTTTTATTGTTGCTTATATCCTCGGATACGTATACTGTGGACGGTGAACTGACAAACTATGTACACAGTACACAAATCATACCAACACGATACGTCGTTGTGACTTGTGAAACTACCTATATTTTATTTTTTGCTTATTAAATTTTGCTGAACGATGGATGTTACTAAAAGTACATTTACAAAGGGAGGAGCTGCTAAAGAGCGTGAAAAAAAAAGAATTAAGTTGAATGTAGCGGCAAAATCATGTCAAAATATTCAAAACTTTTTTATGCCAGTAAATAAAATGAACGAAGATGATATTGATGAACCTGATCCTGTATTAGACTTGGTCTTGGTAAGTTTATATTCTGTTAATATTCATTATTGTGTATATAACTATTTAAAGTTGGCTGATTTTGTCAAACGTAATTATCGTTTTTTAATTATCTAATTATTATCGTTTCATATTTTAGAAAACATTTTGACTATGAAATTAAATAACTTATAAATTGGTAGTGTTTATTATTTATAAAAGTATATTTAAATAACTTATTTTTATATCATAATATTAACTGTAGGTATTATCTCGTGTACCTAAGCACAGTGCATTACATTTTTTTTTCTGATAAATCCTGTTCAACAAAAAATATCAAATGTTTATAAAACATATACCTATAAATAATTAGTAATGAATTACAATTATTATTACTTCTCAAAATGTATTAAAACAAAACATTAAAATATTTTTAAAAAATATAATAAAGTTAAACAAAAAAAATCAAATATTTTTTACAAGTAAAATTGTAGGTATATTGTTTAAATATCTGAAAACATAAAATCAATATATTCTTTTTTTTTTAAATTTAAGACCTGATATATAGGTAATGGGTATATTTAATTTGTATTGTTTGTTGTTTCATATAATACAGTGTATGTTTTCCTTGTCGGTTGATTTTATATACCTAACTTTACTACCTAATAAATTATAAATTAAAATTAACTATATAATTTTGTATTTTGTTTTAAGAAACATAATCTTGAATGTACAAATTCAAGCCAAGAAAATAAAGGGACAAATTTACAACTCACCTCATCTGATCCTCAAGTTATACCATATGAAAATACAAGCCACAAAATCAATAAAACAAATTTAAAAGTTATCACTTCCACTGATACTCAAGCTATAGAATGTGAAGATATAAGCCAAGAGCACAATGAGACAAATGTAAAAGATATCACCTCATCTGATCCTCAAGTTATAATATATGAAAATACAAGCCACAAAATCAATAAAACAAATTTGGAAGTTATCATTTCATCTGATGCTGAAGTTACAGGTACACAAACATACAAATTAAAATATAGCTATAATATATCATAATATGTGCTATAAAGGAAATCATATAAAATATATAATATTTAATACCCATTAATTTAAATTATACTATATATTTTATAGCTGCATATTATTTTCAATAAAAACATGTAAAGATATAAAAATAAGGTATTATTTGAATTTATCATTACTAATTTAAATTTTTATTTTTTCAGTTAGTTCTATTGATATACGTGATCCAATCCATCCACTGTCGATGACATACTTTGATGTTAAAGAGAGAATCTTAAATGGCGGTTATAAACCAATTTTAAATTTATATCCACGAAAACTTCAAGGTAATAAATTTAGATCATTTCATAAAGAGTGGTATAAACAGTATGATTGGCTAGAATACAGTCCCACAGCTGATGCAGCCTTCTGCTTTCCTTGCAGAATGTTTAAAGGTAATGAAAAAAACTGTGGTCAAATCGATACTACTTTTTTTGAAAAAGGGTTTAGTGCATGGTATAGAGCTGGCGAGGCGTTTAGAAAACACCAATTATCAAAGTACCATTTGAATAGTTCTACATCTTTGCATAACTATTTACACAATACATCTATTTCTTGTAAGATAGATGAACTACATAAACATACAACTAGTCAGAAGGAAATAGAACGCCAAAATAATAGACTAATTATGAGTCGTTTAATTGACATAGTAATTTGTTTAGTCAAAGGAGGTAGACCCTTTCGTGGGCATGATGAAAAATCACAGAGTGTAAATCAAGGTCTTTTTAAAGAGTTGGTTAATTTGCTGTCAAAATATGATACTGTTTTAAAAAAACATCTAACAGAAGGTCCAAAACATGCACTGTACACAAGTAATCGCATACAAAATGATTTGATATCGTCTGTTCATAATGTTCTTTTACAAACATTTAAGACTAATGTTCAAGATTCATTTATTTCAATATTGGCCGATGAAACCAGTGATGTGGGTCATCATGAACAAATATCTATCATAGTTCGTTATTTTGACGAAGAAAAAAATCGGCCAATTGAAACATTTGTGTCATTGCAACGTTTAAAATCAGTCACAGCTCAGGCAATTTTTAATTCACTGTGTGATGTATTGGATCTTATGAATAAAAACTGGAAAAATGTTTTATCTGTTTGTTTTGATGGGGCATCGACCATGTCTGGACATTTAAATGGCGTTCAAGCAAAATGCAAAGAGCAAAACAATAGCATAATGTATGTGCATTGTTATGCACATTGTTTGAACTTGGTGTTGGTTGATTCTATATGTGAAAAATCAAATTCTAAAGGAAAACAAAATCGATTAATTTTTAATTTTTTGGGAACTGTTCAATTTATATATAACTTTATAGAAAGTAGTCCAATGCGACATGCTATACTGGAAAAAGTTGCAAAAGAAACTGGTGATAAGCTCCATACACTGAAGTCATGTTCAAATACAAGATGGGCTTGTCGAGCTGAAGCTGTGAAAGCAGTTATGAATAATTATGGAGCATTGATAATTGCAATAGAAAACATCTGTGAAAATTGTTCGTTGCCAGAGATGAGAGCTAAAGGAATTGGTCTATTATATCAATTAAAAACCTTTGATTTCATTTTTGGTATGCATATGATGAATCCAATTTTAATGTTAATTTTAAAAGTTAGTACTTTACTCCAAGAGCCAAAACTTAATCTTGTATTGGCAATGAAAAATGTTAATAGTTTGAGAAATACATTAGTTAATATGAGGAATAATGACAGTGAATATAAACAAATGTTTGATAGTTCTGTTATATTATGCATGAAACATGATATTAATATTCCAGAAAGTAATACCCGTAAAGTTTCAACTCGTTTAGACCCTAATTCATCAAATCAAACTTTTTTTAATACAAAATTAGATGAATTGAAAATTACAGTATTCTATCCATTACTTGACAAATTACTTAGTGGGATTGACTTAAGATTTAAGCAGGATACATTTGACTTGGTTGATGCCATGGCATGCATGTTAAATATGGATATAACTCAAAACACCACAAAAATATTATCGACGTTTTCCAAGGTTCCAGAGGAAGATTTAGTTACTGAACTGAAACTTTTAAAAAATTATAAAAATGCTATGCAACTAAATGGTGCTACTAGTGAATCTGTGTATGAATGGATTGATTGGTTAAAAACAATTGGAAATTCCACTATATATACTTGTGTTTTTAAAACTCTAAAAATGTTTACAATCATACCTGTGACTAGCTGTACGTGTGAACGTGTTTTCTCAAAATTAACCGTTGTAAAAAACAAATTACGCAGTACAATGGGTCAAGAACGTTTGGAGTCATTATTACTGCTTTTCACAGAACAAGAAATGTTATCGAAGGTAGATTTAAATGCAGTAATAGATGAATTCAATAGTATGGGTAACAGACGAATGTCTCTATAACTGTATAAATTACTGTATAACTCTATAAATTCATAACTATTATATTTGTTACTAATATTATTATTATTATTATTATTATTATTACCTATATAATATTATATTAAATCAAACTATTTACTTATGTAAGAAAATATATAAGACATTATAGCATGTGTCACTTGTGTTAATAATTAATATTAAATAGGTTTATAAAATTTAGAAGTGTTGTATTTATAACATTGTTGGCTAGAGGGCCGATGATAAATATATGGGCACTACCTACTTTTAGAGTCTGCGCACGCCTATGACTATAGGTAATTATTCACATTATTTAATTATTGTTGCAATTTGCAATGCAGTATGTATACTGTATAGTATGTACCTATGTACAAAAAACCGACAGTATACACTTAAAATGTTCATCGTTTATAATATAATATGTAATAAGTTACGATGATTCTTTCTGGCGCGAAAAAATGATTGAGAAGTTAAAAGTGTAATATTGAACATGATTTTTTTAATTTATATTTTATAGTACCTAATTGGATTTTTACGTAATTACATAAGCATAATATCAAATTTTATTTTCAGTTTTTATACAGAATGCTTACATCCAGAAATAGTCAATCCCCAGTACGGAAAGAGGCTGTTGGTAGATGACATTTTAGATCCTCAACATATTTTGGAAAATATAAAAACAAAAACGGCAAAAAAA